CCTCTCCCCGCCGGGCCGCGGGCGCGAGCCCGGGCCTGTGCGTCTCTGCCCGGGGCGGGCCCCTCCCCGGTCCACAGAGGCGCCTGGGCATCCCCGGGCTGAGTCCTCCTGGCTGGTCGCTCCCCGGGTCCCCTTCTAAAGGCACCGATCCCGTTCCTGGGGGCCCACCCTCAGGACCTCATCTCCTCCCAAAAGCCCGCCTCCAAATACACTGAGGATTAGGGAGTCGCGTGTGAATCTGGGCGACAAAGGTTTTAGGTGGTTGTGTTTTCATGCAGGTTAGTGAAAGCCCGTAGCACGCGCGGGTGTTTTAGCTGCTGTGCTTTCCCTCACTTGTTCTGAGATTGTTTTTCCCCTATTCCCTGACCCATCGCCCTGGCTCCACTCACACCATGTCCCCCCTGTGGGGCTCTAGATCTGACCTATCCCGTGTTCTCATGGCAGGCTCCAGCGCAGTTTCTGTGTGTTCAGGCGTGTGCTCCTTTTCGGGGACACTCGTGCTCCCCAGGGCGCACTGGGGTGGCTGAGACAAGCTCTGCAAGTGTTGGCAGGGGTGAGTGGGCCTTGGTCGGGTCTGTGTCGTTTAGACGCTGGTGGGGAGTGGAGCGGTGTGGCCGGGGCCTCCAGGGTCTCCAGTGACTTTCCCTTTTTCTTGGAAGCAGTGGGTGCGGGGAGGAAGTATGATGCCTCATGTGTGTGTAACCACATCAGTAATTATGAATAAATAACAGACTGGCGTCTGTATGAAATATTCCCGCAGCTGTCATGCATGTTCCTGTGTTTTCAGATTGAAGATGGAAGAACCACAGATTTTCTCCACAAGTGATGGCTGTGGGGGCGACAGAGTCACAGAAAAGTACCGGGTTGAGTCCAAGCAGCCAGCCTCGCACGTCCAGCTTGCCTGCCGCCCGCCACACTGCGCTTTCCCCTTAGATGGAAATCATCTCTGCGTGTGGAGCACCGAGGACCCGCCCCAGCAGGTGCTCGGGTCTGCGTGCTTCTTGTTCTGTCGACAACACAAAGCGCCCTGTGTCACCTGTCACCTCTCCATTTCGCCTGTCCGTCGTTCCCCCCCCCCC